TGTATGTATGTATGTGTATATGTGCACGCCCAAGTTGCAGCATACTGAAGACTGCACCCGCGCAATCCTTTTTGACTCGGTGCAGACTCCACTCTTGGCTTGCAGTTTACGGGGTGCTCCTGCAAACACGGACCGTGCGACCGCCATTACTCTCCTGAGCATTCCCAACCCTGAGCTCAGGAACTTGCAATGTCATGTAAAGTAGTATAAAGCCTAGCACAGTACCACTTGTCCAACAATACGAGCTCACATCCGTGCATGTATGCGTCTGTTCGCATGTCTACTCTACAGTCTTTGGAATACATCAGATTATCTTACATTACATTCCAATGCCTTAACAAGGTGTACCTATACATGTAACGCACATACACAGGGAGATAGAGGAGGCAAAGTATCATCATTCTCCATTGCATGGAACTCGTTAAATTGACGGAACCAATGCCAACGTATGATTTCGGCATATCTCACGGGGTTGCGGAGCCGCAGCAGGAGTCAAGAAGCCAAGAAGCCTCATTCTCTGTCCAGCAAGTCTATCTTACAGATCCGACAGCACGGGCATTGTCGAGGATCTTCGTGTTTCCCTTGTGGATCTTCACCTGGGATGCTCGGGAATAGTCACACTATGACTACGGCAGCACTTGCCAAACTGTGTACTGCGGTCCAAGGTACATGCAATTCCCGGGAATCTTTCTCGGAGTCATTGCTTGGGTTGGCGAGGAAGCAGCCGGCGAGGATCCGAACCGCCTGAGAGCAGCCGGTGCGGTTCGGGGCGTTCTGGGCACTGCCCACGAGCACCCCACACGGAATCCGCAGATGATGAGAAGTTACAGAAATTGAAGCATTCGTCACTATCAAGATTGCATTGGGATCAATTCGACATCCTAAACTCACAACTTACAACTCTAAGCCCAAAGCGGCTTCTCATAAGCCCGATATTTCCCCCAACCCCGCAGACCTGACCCTCTTTCTCACTCAAGATCGCTTACTCTTCTGGGGCCTTCTCTGCGACACCCGCCCGCTCGAACTGGCAAAGCCCTTGGCCTCGGGATCGTCCATCCTTGACAGGCGAAGCGCTGACGCGCACCGGGTGCAGTTCTGCTCTTGTTTTTCGCCTTTTCCCTATGTCTGGGAATCGATTCGTGGAAATTGAAATAAGCGACATGCGGATATAAACAAAACGAGTATGTACGTCATGATTGCGCTCTATAGAGCACTTGAACAGGAATGCCAAGACAGCAGCGACAGAAACAGTAGAAGCTGTCGTGGCAAATGTCGTTCGCCGAGTCGTAGCAGCGACAGCAGCAACAGTCGCCGTTGGCAGCACTCAGTAGCAGTATAGGTTGTGTTTGGGGTGACAGGGGTACAAGAAAAAAGTTGTATATCATACAATCTAGAAGCGGTAGCAGCAGCGGCAACAGAACCGGTTTCAAAGACTATCATCACCGACATCGGCATAAACAAAACACACACAACATAACAATCACGATGGTACTGCCGGGTAAAGAGGGCGTTTCGAAGGTCGTTTACATCCCTAATTGCCCGAGACTCGGCTCAGCTACTCTCCGGCTTCTTGCAATCGGGCGGATGTCCGGGATTCAATGAAGTGTGAGGCTGTGGCGGCAGTTGGGGCTTCGCAGGCTTCTGCTTGCGTGTTGACAAGATTCGTCAGCAGCATAAAAACCTGATGGACCCAGGAAACGCAAGTTTGAGGTCATGCTTACTGCTGGTCCTAAGATTCCGTGCGAGGTCAGGGTTGCTGCTGTAGGCTTGCTGATCTTGCTTCGCGTCACTGTTGTAGCTCGGCCCTGACTTACCAGTGCCAGTGCCAGTGCCACTGAGTATTTTTCGACTTCTCCTGGGGTCCCCTGGGGTCCGGGAGTTGAAACGACGAGAAGACCAGGCCTTCAGGGTGAAGAGGCGAAGGGCTTTCACGGGACCAGCACGTTCAAAGAGCGGCAGCAAGTCCTCTTCGTTCACTTCGAAGGGCACGTTGTGGAAATACACACAGGAAGACTCCTGTACCGGCTTGCGAACCACAGACCCTTACGACTCCAGAGTTCCTTTGTAGCTTAGTTTAAACCAGGGTCCACGACTGCTCCACCCCCTGAGGTCCTCGGCTTCGGGCTCAGAGAAGACTTCGGGCTTTGCAGGTTCTTCAACGGGCTTCATCTCCTCGTCGAGATCCTTTGCAGGGGCCTCCTGCTTGGTCTCCACCTCGCAGGACTCCTCGCTGGAAAGTTCGGGAGCCTGTTCTGCGCGAGCGTCCGTGCAATGCGAGACCGAGTCCGAATCCTCGGCCTTGCATTCGGTTTCCGACTGCTCAGACTTCTGTTTGGGGCTGTAGAAGGAGATGCGGCCATCCGCAGCTTCACTCGGGGCTAGGACTTTCGCATCCTCGACTTCAGCCTTTACCTGAGTTTCTCTGGCAGTCCTCGACTTGAGAACAGGCTGAGGAGGCGGTGGTGGTGGACTCATTAACACCCCCAGCGGCTTCAGCTCTGAGGTCTCCTCCGTCTTCGCTTGGCGGGCACCAGGAGACGAGCCTGTTCGGGCTCTCTTGTCGGGGCCCCGCCTCTGTGCCTGGGCATGTCTCGAGTTCCGCTGTTCGTTCCGTCGGCCCTCGTTTCGAGGCGCTGCAGTGCGTGGAGGCTCTGCAAGCGGAGTCAGCTCTGAAGGGTCGATCCTCTCACCATCCAGAATGTGGGCTGCCGCCAGTGCCCCCTCTGGGGACACAAACTCACAAAGTCCCATGCCCTGAGACTTGCCATCTTCTCGGAAGATACGAAGTCTCTTCACGGAGCCAGCCCGTTCGAAAACGCGCTTGAGCACTCCCTCACTGACCCTTTTGGGGGCATTGTGAAAGAAAACACAATGCCTGCGCGCGGCCTCTTCGCCATTCTCGTCGAAGGGAGGCGGGGGCGGTGGTGCTGAGGAGGACAGGCGCTTCACCAACAAAGGCTTCACCTCCTCCTCCAAGGGAACTCCAACCACATCGATTGAACTAGCGCCCTGCACTACAAGAGTTTATGTATTCAGGATGCCCTCTATACAGGTATGGGGTGCCTATGCAGGGCCCTACACAAGCAGGCGGCCTGTCCTCCTCGACATCCTCCGCGGGACCTGTAAAGACACGTCGCCGCTGTTCGGGCGCCTCCACAGGCTCGAAGCAAGCAAAAGAGTGTCATCCTGATTGTTGCTTGCTCGATGACTGTATAATTTATAATCTGTTTTAAGGCTCGTCTCAGATTCCCGTGGATATACTACCCCTGATGACGGGTTCTACCATACTGCGGCTGTTTTTCTGTCTGTGCATGTCATGTAGTAATATAGAGTACCACGAGTATTACACGCATCTGGCTTTGGCAATGCTACTTGCCATTGCTCAATGTGTCTACGTACATTCCCATGTGCTGAACATCTTGTGCTCTTATGGTCTGAAAAGGACTTTTCTGCAGCCACACAGACCATATCCTATCAGCCAACCTATCAGCAATAAAGACTATGCCAGTGTGAGTGAGTCGGGGAGAGACAGAAGGAGGAGCGCTGCTTTTGGGACCCCTTTCAGGCTATTGGCTGCACTTCAATCGGCACCTGCTCACGGGAAACACATCTCATACACTTCAAATTGACCTGGACGTCCCTAAACCCTAAGGCCCTAAGGGCCCTAAAGCTGCTCCTGTCAAGACACTGTCCATGTAGGACGAAGCGACACGCAAGTGCAAACGCACGCGCTTTGAAGTGAGGCCCCCGAGCCCTCTGTTGATATGTATGAAAAGAAAGTAAGAATCGATCTGTCTACGTACATATATATATATATATGTATATATAATTATGTGATTGGTGTTCTCTCTTTCTCTTTCTATATATATATATATCTCTCTATCTGTGTGTATATATATATACACACACACAGATGATACCTGAAATCAAAATACGACCACACATCATCGGAGAGTCCGGAGCCCGAGCCTTCTTCTCTCGCAGGACCACGGCACCTCCCTCCTTTCTCGCCAGGGTTTTTTTCAGTGTAGGTTTCGACCGTGTCGCGTGTCGCATTCCAGGCCGAGGGCTAACGGTTTAGATCGGTCTAGGGTTTAGGGTTTAGGGCCTAATGCTTTAAATCCCAAAGACGAACTTCTCTTTTGTGTCTGCCGATTTCAGAACGGAGGTCACAAGTTCATGCATCTACAACTGCCGTCTTCCGGCAAGGCCACAAGTTCATGCATCTACAACTGCCGTCTTCCGGCACGATTTTTCGGATTCAGGATACGTTATCATGCCGAATCTGACTCAACGTACTCACGCCTCTCCGCCTCGAGGCCCAGCCGTGCACAATCCAAAGCACGCAGCGGCCGACAACGACACAAGATGCGAGGTACTTAAAGAGGCTCGAGCTACGACGCTGTAGGCTGAGGGGACCAATCAATACATCCCAGAATTCCACAACTTGAAACCCAACACACCTGAAGCAAGCACTATGCTGCCAACGCACAGAGATCTGTATCATCTGTATCATGCAGAATGGCTCATTGCACAAGCAAGTCCTCGCGCGGTTTCAGCGCAAAACGCGGCTGGAGCCTCGCCTGAGAACGAATCACTTCTTTGGCCCCCCGTCTTCTTCCTTCAAGATTTAGGTTGGCGGGCCTGGGATTTCATTCGGGCATGTTCTGATGAGGTCTCACGGCGTGGAGTTCGGCAGTCGCACAGGCCTGTAGCGTCCAGTGAGGTCAAGGCATGCACACTCTGCGAGTTTGTGCCGACCTGTGCACCGACTCCCTAGAAACGACGACCTTAGCAGCCTGCTAACACAAAGAAATGCTTAAAGCTCTCAGAGCATTTGTGCGGCACTTTTCCTGTCGGTCTGATGGCGAGCTGTGCTATTTGTGCGCTTCTTGAACTCTTGTTCGTGCGTCAGGACGACTTTGGTTCGGACATGATTGATGTGCACGACAGCAGCATGCTTAGCCCTTAGCTTCCTGAGTCACGGCTCGGGTCTGTTCTACAATCAGCTCCCGGAACACTCGGAAGCTCATGTAGGAGCTCACCACGCCGCCGAGGATCAGCGTGGAGGCGATGATGAACTGCTGGGTGGCCACTGAGTGACCCCAGTGGAACTCGTTCGCAAGCAAGCTGGAAACCATAAAAATCATGTACGTGGCGGTGGCCAGCAAGGCAATCTCACTCCGATTCCATGCCGGAGTATGATACGGCTGGGCTACACCATAAAGCATCAACGAGGAGAAGACCACCCCACCTAGACAACCCATCTGAAGAGCCGGTGCAGATGCAATGGGGAGCATGGCTCCGATCAAGGTCAAGAGCGTCTTCCTCACCAACCGCTCCGTCTCAAAAAGGGCATACATCTCCTTGTACTTGCTCGTCAGGAAGACAACATGACTTGGAGGAGGAACCTCCTTCGACATGGAAAGGCGGACCCATGCCAAAAGGGCGAGAGTCAAGAAAAGGATCAGGCCGGCGCACACCTGCACGAAGCCTGCACCCTTCGAGCCCTCCGGCAGAAACGGGCAATGCAGGCTCTCGAGGCCGGAGCCGTCGTCCGGCTCGAGGCGATAACATACCATGTACTTGCCAAAATCTGCAACGATGCTGGGCAAGAAGCAGTTCAATCCAGCAACGAGAGCAAGACGAGAGTCCTTTACCAACGACAGGATTACCACTAGGACGGCTGCCACCGTGACGTCCAACACATGCGAGCTGCCGAGAGTCTGCTGAAAGCCGATGTAGGACAGCAAGCACTGCGAGGAGGCGAAGCCAAGGGAACCTTGGCCAGACCCGGTGTCAGCCACAACCATGGCAGCACCAAACAAGAAAGTTATGGCATTGCTCTTCAGGTCCTTCGCGGTATTGGTCTGCATCACCGCTGTGAAAACCATGGTCGATATAGTGGCGAAGGCCATCAGCTGATTCAAATAAATGCTGCTCTCCTTCAAGTCGCCAGCGCTTTTGGCGCCGGCACTCGTGGCTGTGAGGCCGAACAGGAGAAGGCGCTGGGAGAGGAAAAGGATCCACTGCAATGCCTGCACAAGTCTCTCGTCACTGCACCTCGTGCAGGAGAGCACACTGCTGTCGGCCTTTGCATGGCCGGTTGTGCACGCAACACAACCTGGGCCATTGTAGCCTTCAGCGCACATGGGGGTTCCAGCCGGCAATTGACCGCCAGGGCAGGCAGCCTCGTTTGGGCAATGGAAGCTGCGGCTGACATTGGTGTGCTCCACCATCGTCCCACTCTCCATCTCGAAGTGGCTGGAAAAGCATTGGCGTGCTTTGTCAGGGCAGTGAAGGCATGGCTCGCTGCTGCCGAACAAAACCTGTGTGTAGCCCTCGGCACAGACCAAACAGCCCTGATCGAACGAATTTAAACCGGTGCCAGTTCCTGTGCCCACCGGGCATCGGAACCCAGCCACATGCGCTGTCTTGGCACGGAATCTACATCGGCTGACATTGGTGCAGTCCAGCACATCATCCAGATGCAAAGTCTCCGCTGTCTCGATTTGGACACCGCCAGATTGAGCGTGAAAATGAGCTGATTCGATTGCAATGCTACCTGCAGCACTGATGTCCACCCCATCGTTACCTGTGTTATCAGTCATGAAGAGCTGCTTGAGTTGCAAGTCAGCGATGCTGGAAGTCATCATGAGAACCGACGCAGTTCTGGCCCGACAGCGCTCGAAACTCAGATTTGCGATAGCTTGTTGTTCACCAGCCTCAGACAATATCCCGCCACCAAATGATTTGGCCGTGCAGTCCTGAAAGAGCAAAGAAACTCCGCAATGCAATTTCCCATCTTCTTGGACATGAAGCCCACCCCCTGCTTCAGCACTGCAGGATCGAAACTGGATGGAACCGTTCGAGAATAGCGCCCGGGCTGATAGGCCTCCACCAGCTTGTTGCAATGCCGTGCATCTCTCGAAGCGAGTGTGGCCACCTGCTTGTGTGTGTGTGTGTCCATATGCTGGAGCTGTCGACTCAGTCGATACAAGCCGAGTGAGTAGCTGTTTAGGGGACGCGAAATTTTCGCTATGACGCAGTGAAACGTTGCTTGCAACAATCGCAGGGGCATGTCTTCTCCCCATCTTCTGACTGTGGTGCGGTGCACAATGTGCACGAAGCAGCGAAAAGCTGCAAGTGTCACGAGGATGCGAGGGCGAGGTCGATCGCTAATTTTCGACAGCAAAAACCTGCGACGTCGCTAACGGATCATGGATGCCATGTTGGTTGATGCTCGTGGTGCGGTTTTATCAACATGCTTGTGGCTGAGCTGTGCCTTCATTTCGCCAGTGGCAGATTGTGATCCCAGGGGATTGCAAGGGTTCCGGATTTACGCATCAAGATGTGTGCGATTGTGCGTTTTGTTTTCTGGGATTTGCTTGACTATACAGATAGGACTTAGGCACCAACATCTAAATCTATAATTCAATGCTTGCAATTAACTACCGTCCCAAGACATGTTAAGGTCTCTGGCCCAGCATGGCCTTTTCGATGTCAGCTGTTGCCAGCCAGCTTTTCTTTACTGCTACTCGTGATTTGTGCCAGCAGAACATCTCCGTTTAAGAACATCTCCGTTTAGGGTTAAGGACCTTGAGGAGGCTAGGGCTAGGGTCTATCAAGAAACATCTGTTGGGTGGGACGAAGCCCTTCGAACTGACAACAGTGTTTGTTCAGGCATGAAGGTGCATGTTGATGGTATCGGCGCTCACTTCCTGCGAATTTCTTTGGCATGGGATGTGGTGGCGGGCTGTACAGGAGGTTGTCCAGTGCGTGGAAGGGGGGGGGCTATGCACTGTTATCAGATGCTTCGCAGCGGTAGCGGGTAGTGAAGAATTTCAGGCATATGATCTTCCTGCAAAGTGCTAGCTTGCACGACATTTTCTCCGAAAAGCTTCGGCGGGTTTACAGACCTGTAGTTTCCGTATGCACCTAAGGTTCCATCTGCAGAGCTGTGCCCGTTGTTCGCTTTTGTTTGGGCCAAGATTGACATCTCCAGCCCTGGTTCGGGTCTCCAGCCTTCAAAGACGACGAATACCATTGATTCAGCACCGGGCAAGATTCCAAGAGGTTTGCTGTGGCTTGGGTTCGGCTGCACATGCGTGGCGCTATAAGAAGACTGCTGTGACTATGCGCCCATGATCGCCCACGGACATTGCTGCACGTGCATTGCATGAGGACAGCACGGCGACTCGGCATGTGCAAGTATCAAATGATGCCAACATAATCTTTAACATGGCTCGTTTCGATAAACTACGAGGATATGTTGAACATTATGACTGAAGACAATAGCAGCAATTGCTGGGCACAATAAAACTAACATCAAGATATCATGTGTGCAATTCTACAAACACATAAATGTGTGAGTAAGCAATCAAGTGCCCAATGAAGGAGTGTCACAGAAGCAATGACTTGACAGCTTACTGGTGCCTTCGCAAAACCAACAGCCACCACCATGATGATCATCATCATCATCCTCGTCGTTCTCAGCATCGTCATCATCATCATCATCATCATCGCCATCGTCGTCAGCATCGTCATCATCAGCGGGCTACCACGATCACCTTCACGATCCCAACCACAACCATCATCGTGATGTGCACACGGCGAATGCGTTTGTGGTAAAATTGGGGGGGGGGGGGGGGGGCAGGGGGTGTGTATGGGCATTTGATACTGTTGCATAGAGCCGATCCGGCGCTGTTACTGAGAAGGCTTGTTGCATAGATGAACAGCTTACGGACAAAAAACAACACACACCAAACACACACACACACACAAACAACTCAACAAAGCGACACCCCACCTGCGCCCTGAGCGAATGTGGCATCGGCGAACATGCCGCCACCGTTCCGCACAGCGGTGCAATTCACGAACTCAGCCTGGCTGTCTTTCTCCTGAAAGAAGTTGGTTACGTAGAAGCCTCCACCTGCCTTCGCAAAGCAATCCTCTGCATGCAACTGGCTGCTCATGTTTTGGATAAGATCGCCACGAACGCGGAGACCACCACCGATGACTTCTGCATTGCAACTCGTAAATCTGGAAGAGCTGTGTCCCTGTTGGTGCAAACTCGCGTTAACGAAAATCCCGCCGCCCTCTTTTGCAGAGCAGTTCTCCAAGATCGCAGAGCTGTGGTCTCCTTGATGAATATCGGCACTCCACGCACCCCCACCGCTTTCCTTGGCACTGCAGCTTGTAAATCTCGCCAAGCTGTGCTCTGTTTGATTAAGGCTTCCCCCGATGAAAACGCCGCCGCCGTGGGTTGCCGCACACTGGTCCGCATGAAGCCAGGAGCCAAAGCCCTGCACAATGTCATCCTCAACGTCAAGACCACCACCTCTCTTCTCCGCCCTGCAATTGCTAAACCGCACAGAACTGTATTCCCTTTGATGAAAGCTAGCTCTGGAAGCACTGCTGAGGATTGTGTCTGGGCGGGACAGATGAATACCACCACCATAGGTTGCTGTACAGTTCTCGGCTTCGAAGGAGGAGTTCAAGTGCTGGTGCACTTGTTTTGCGTGCAGGCCACCACCGAACGTTGCCCTGCAACTCGCAAAACGTACTTTGCTGTGGTTGTTCTGGTGAAACCTTCCTCTAACAAAGGCGCCGCCGCCACCGGTGTCAACAAGGGAGCTCTTTGATAAACAATTCTCGGTATGCAGGGCGGAATGCCAGGTTTGGTAGAAGTCTGAGGCATGCAGGCCTCCACCTGCTGCTACGGCCATGCAGCTCCTGAAGCGTGCAAAGCTGCGCTCTTTTTGATGAAACCTTCCGGTAACCAAGATGCCACCACCCGTAGTGGCACGGCAGTTCTCAGCGACGAGCACCGTGTTCAAGCCTTGGGTGTATAATGCAGCATGCAGGCCGCCACCGTCGTGCCTCGCTCTGCAGTTCGTGAAACGTGCAGTGCTGTGGGCTTCCTGGTCATAGCTTGTACCGACAAAGACACCTCCGCCGTCACGTGCTGAGCAGCTATCTGCGTGAAGCGATGCATTCGAGATCTGGGTGAAGTTCTTGTCAACATATAGGCCACCACCCTCTTCGGTAGCTGCACAGTTCTCGGCATGAAAGGAGGACTTCAAGTCCTGATAGACGTTTCCAGCCCTCAGGCCACCACCAGACTTCCTCGCGCTGCAGCTGCTAAAACGTGCGCTGCCGTGGGCCTTCTGATAAAAGCCTCCCTCAACCGATGCACCGCCACCGATGTTTGCTGAGCAGTTTTTTACATGAAGAACTGAGTGCGAACTCTGCGTAAAGGTGTTGGAAACGCGTAGGCCACCACCAAATTTCTTCGCCCAGCAGCTCAACAAATGGGTTGTGGCATAGGCTTCTTGCTGAAAGCTTCCAACACAAACACCTCCGCCGTTGTTGGAGGCGGAGCAGTTCGTCGCATGAAACGAAGCATTGAAACTCTGGGAGAAATTCTCGCGAACGCGTAGGCAACCACCATTTTTGGCTCTGCAGCTGGCACAAACTACGGAGCTCTCGCTTTGCTGATGAAAGCTACCTCCGACCCAGGCACCACCAACTGGCAGTTGTCAAGCTGCAGCGTGCTGCCACCGGAAACCGTGACGTTGCCATTTGTACGAATGGCACCTCCTCTGCTCTGCGTGGCCTTGTTAACACAGCCAGAGAAGCTTGCATGCCCTTTGATCAGCAGATCTCCATGGACTGTAATACAGGGTCCGTCCATCTCCGCTGCGGCTATAATATGCACGTCACCCTTCAGAAGGAGGTTGGCTTCAAAAACCAACGGCGACTTCAGAAGCACCTTCAGCCCGAGATCTCCATGCCATGTACAGCTGCTGTCGAAAGGAGCGCTCAGGTTCACAAGTGTGGCCTCTCCTGAAGTGGGGAGGATGGCACACGGCGGAGATTCATTTGCGTCAGGTCCAGCCACTGGCGTAAAAACGGCATCTTCACTGGAGCTGAGACCGCTGATGGACATTACGGAGGTTTCCACTCGGACTGCGCCGCAAGCAAGCACTAGTCCCAGGAGGACCACGGCGCGTGTGGACGGAGCCATTGCATGGGGGAGCTAGCCGCACCTGCATGGATATGTACAAAAAGCAATCAGGCGAGAGCTGCTGCCTCTGGGCCGAAGCCCGAGCTGCAAAGGCATAGCCATGATGGAATGTTTCGAGATTAAGACAACTTTCAGGAACGCGGGGAAGCCGCATCCTAAGCCCCGGCTTATCGATGCTTCACCGTGGCATACCATGCACATACATACATACATACTTACATACATACATACATACATACATACATACCATACATACATACATACATACATACAGACAGACAGACAGACAGACAGACAGACAGACAGTACATACAGTACAAACAGCACATACATACATACATACATACATACATACATACATACATACATACATACATACATGCGTACATGCATACATACATACATACATACAAACATACATACAAACAAACATACAAACAAACATACATACATACAAACAAACAAACAAATATACATACATACATACATACATACATACATACATACATACATACATTACACACATACATTACATACATTACTGACATGACATGACATGACATGGCATGGCATGGCATGACATGCCATACATGACTTACATGACATACAAGCATACATACATACATGCATACATACATTCAGACAGACAGACAGCCAGACAGCCAGACAGACAGACAGACATAAGCACATACATACATACATACAGACAGACAGTACATACAGTACATACAGCACATACATACATACATACATACATACATACATACATATATATGTATACTATACACATATATGTTATGACTATGTATTTACTAGGGCCTTACAGCAAAATAACAAATAAAAACAAATAACATCATATCATATCACAACATATAATGACATGAAATGTCATGCCCTATCATATGTAACATATATATATATACATATACATACATCAGCATTTACATATACATGTACATATGCATATACATGTACTTACATGCATATAGATAAATAAGTGAAACCCGATATACATAAAAAAACAAATCAATAAGCAAATACTTATATATATATACATACATATATATATATGTGTGTGTGTGTGTGTGCGCGTGTCTACATATACACATACATACACCGAAAATCCGTCATTCGAGGACTCCGGGTATTCTTGTTTGCTGTTGCTCAGATTAGCTTCAGATGCGCACCGATGACAAGCATTGACAAGCGGGGGCGGAGCAGCAAGGCCTCCAACGCACCTCTGACGTCATATTTTGCTGGGAGCAGTTCATCTTGCTCAAACTCAAGTTCTTCGATATATGTCTTTGTGGACTCTAATTACACTCACCCGCACAGAAGACAGCGGCCTACCTTGTTCCCCTGCTGCGAGAAGGCCGTAAGCGGCCGCTTCATGGCATCTGCGGTGCTTTGATTCAAACGGGTTGAGCTACGGGCTGGGGTTTGTTGGGCGACTGTGCTTGCCACTCCGGGAGAACAAATCCCGCTTTCTGAAGTCAAATGCTGGCAAGTGTGACACAACAAAGGAAGCCGAGTTCCCTGGCTGCTTCCCGGTGGTTACCCCAGCTCCCTTTCTCGTAAACTTCGATCTGATTCTATCTGGTTCTGGCTGCAACATGTAACGTTGCATGCAAAACTCTACCAGAAATCTGTCATCTACTGTGGTGAACGATGTGGTGCCGTGCGGCCCTGCGTAGATCTTGAGCAAGTAAGTGTGAAACAAGCGCCTTGAACCGAATGGGGCCCGTCGCCGTGCGAATGCACATGAACTTGGTATCAAGGCCTGTACTATGTTCAATCATAGCAAGGATGATGTAGACGGTGGTAGCAATGACGACCACACAGCAGTACTCGATGCAAGGCCGATAGCGATCAGCATGCTGGCCAGTTTCCAATGCCGATAAATCGGACTGGAAGCGAACGCTCGTGCCTCTGTGACATGATGCGCCTCTTGATGCCACTCCCATGAAATCCGTGGCATTTGATACTGAGGGGAAGTACCCCTTCTAGGACATCATGAAGAGGTTCAGGGTGTCTTAACCGGAGTCCTTCCTGAGTGCTGCGCTATCTACGCTCGTAAAGACTCTGATCCAAAGCACGAACACGGTCAACCAAAAGCCTGGATCCGGCAGTGCATCTGCAGGGTTTAAGGCTTGGCTAAGCCAGAAAGTGTACTCGTTTTACCCACGTCCGGAGGAAGCTTATATGAATAGAACAAATGACAGACTTACCCTAAACCTGAACCCTGGACACTGACTTGCTGGGATCGCAACTTTGTGCCGCCCAGGGCCGAAAGGATTCGAACCTCGGCCAAAACTGCGCGCTTAGAAGGGAGGTGTAATTTTACACCAAGGAGGCTCTTTGTAATTGACATGCTGAGAATCCTAGATTTTGTCGGGACCTGGAGCCTGGGCCGCCTTTCCTGGGCGCTGAGGGCTAAAGTCACGAGCAAGCCGGGCAGTAAAACCGATGTACTGCCAGCATTTGTGGTGACTCAGATAACGTCGAAACAACATCACGACCAAAATCGGGCACATAGCCTTGCTTCAGGACATCGTTGTTGAAAGTAATCTGGTTTAAGCTTGGGCAAAACTCAAGAGGGGGTCACGGGTCGGCAAGCCAGAGCGTAAGTGCCTGGCTCCTGCTGGCGGGCCGCGTCTTCGGGGCCGGGCCGCCCAAGCCAGCCACCCACCTTGGCAGCGAGAAGATCGACCGCAGGGCAAGGACTTCAGCCTATCAACCTTTAACCGGATAGGGGTGTAAGTGTCTGTGGAGCACGCTGTGTTGATGCCTCGTGGATCGCACTGCCTCGTCGGATTCATGTTCTGAGGCATGGACAACAATCTTATCTTGTTTGCTATAATCGACAGAGACTTCGGGTTCAATCCATCTTCCGGGAGACTGATTCACAAACATCCGAAAACCTTGCAGTTTAACGATGCCCGTCTCAACTGGTCTAACTTACAGTCTCTAAATAAATGGGGAGCCTGAACCCGATACTGCCCTATACTACCTTAAACCCGGCCCCCATACTATAACAAGATACTACTGTGAAGCCAGTTTACTACATGATACTATACATAGACTGTACAGCATAAACTCAGCTTACTATGCCACATGCTACTCTAAGCCCTCGACGGAATACTGCAAGAACTGGCGTCTGAGATCCGATCCGAGCGTGCGATCCTGGAGGACACTTCGCGCCAGCCATCTCTGATGGCTGCCCCCAGCGTCTGAGTCGAAGGAAAAGCACAAGCCGCCAAAGAGTGGGACTTAAGTGGTGTAACAATTCCGGGCGAGGGAGTGGGAGTCGTCGTCGACCGTCGTAGTCCTAGAGTTGTAGTATACAACTGCACAGTCGTCAAGGCAACAGTGGGCGCAGTGAGGGTAGCAGTAGCAGCAGATTAGATTACAAACATCAGGACAATTGAACTGCTGCGGGCCTGCTACGTTACGTACGACTACGACGACGACGACGACGACTACGACTACTTCTGCTACTACTACTCCTCGTTCTACTACTACTCCTACTACGACGACGACTACTACTAGTACGTCTGCTACAGCATTCTTTCTCTGCCTTCTTTTCTTCCAGTACAGCATGACTACCTACGACCACTGCCGCTGCTGCGGCTGCTGCTACTGCTACTCCTGCTAGTGCTGCTGCTATTGCTGCTACTACTGCCACGACTGCTGCTATGCAATTGCTACCGCTACTGCTACTGCTGCTACTGCCGACGACGATGACGACGACGACGGCTGCGACTACCACTACGACTGGTATTGCTACTGCTACTGCTGCTACTGCTTCTCCTGCTATTTCAGCTGCGACTACCACTGCTGCTGCTGCTGCTCCCTATGCAAGTACTACGAGCACGACGACAGCGACGACTACTACTTCTGCTCTGTCTGATTCGAATCCTACTCCTTCTCCTTCTCGTACTTCTACTTTAAATCTTCAACCACCACTACGTTGATCATCAACATCGATTCAGCCGCACACTCGGAGACAGGGAACACAAAACAGTGTGCGACGGTGCAGATGTAGATCTGTAAGGCACTGTAAGGTTTTCGCACATTCAATGACCCTATAAGAAGCTTTAAGTTTAGGGTCGATACATGATTCGGAAGAGTTGGCCAAGAGGTCTTTGAAAAGAGCTTGGGCTACGGAGCTTAAGGAAGCTGCACCGGCACCCCGTCAAAAGAACCTGAAGACCTAAAGCAAAAATACCAAAGCAGGAGTGCTACCCCAACCGGAGTCAGCAATTTCGGAAAGCCTGGCAATACATGAGCTCCGCCGTACCCAAAATCATCATATGTATGACCCTAATTAACCCTAACAGCCCAAAACCCTTCCCGAGATCGCAACATAGGGCGCTGGTCTCTGCGGTGAATGGCCGGGAGCAGGGCCGAAGACGCCAGCTAGCCGCTTGGGAGTTTTGAGTTCAAATGCTTTGATAACGTCGCTGTTTGGCAAGGTGGGGAGTTTTTGTAGATTTCCAGTGCTCTGTGATCACGCCATGTTCTTTTCCATATCATCCATATCCACGATCCGGCCATGACCTGGTTCACATTGAAGACACTCAACAGGGTGCGTATGGTGGATTGCGAAATCATGCATGGAAAATTCCTCTGGTTTTGACGCCAACTGGGATGTTGATGCTTGCATCTGCAATCTTGCTGTCCTCATGTTTGCGACAGAGAACCTGGCTGGGACGGCTGCACCCCAAATCAGAACCTCTTTGCAGGTTGTAGGCGACGAAGATCAAGCGGACTCCGAAGCAGCCCAAAACGTTAAAACCCTAAACCACAAAACCTAAAACCCTAAACCCTAAAACCCCAAAACCCTAAACCCTAAAACCTTAAAACCCTAAACCATAAAATTTAGATACCCCAGACTTGGGCCCCAGCCTCCTCGGTCCGAGGCCATTGCCGAGTTCCAACGAAAGGGGAACTGCTGATTAAACAACCGGGGACGGCATGCGGTCATGCGGGTAATCTGCAAGGCTTTTGAAGGTAGGGCTGGGTGGTTAGACCGTCTGACGCATTTTGCGTTGCTTCTCTTCCTATTGTATTTCGTCACTGCTGGATGCAGTGGTCAAGATGAGTTTTCAGCTTGAGGAGCTGTCTGCTGAGTAAGTTGGCATCGATTGCCCTAAGCTCGTGCTCAAAGCCGGACGACACATCAGTTTGTGCAAGCATCGTCCTTGATCTCGCAGGAGTACACGCTTAGAGTTTAATTGCATACCATACGAGTACCAGACAAATGGACGTACGTCTTGTCTTGGCATCGTTTGTATCAAAACCCAAAACGAAAGATGTATCCACACAAGTGTGCAGGTAGATCTGTACATTGATTATGCGTATGAACATGGGTTCTGCGTTCTTGCCGGGGAAATCATTATTTCCGAACATAATGCTGCAATTGCTGGTGCCATATGGCTGCTTTGAACCTCTAGTGTTTAGGAATTAGAAGTTTAGTGTGTAGACCACAGGTTTGGTTCAATGAAATGTGTGCTGTCAGAGTGTTCCCAGATGCTCCCAGCCTTCGTCCATCTGCACACATACACGCATGTTAAAGTGGCCGCTTATCACAATGAAAATTGCAGCAAGCTGCAATCAAAACACAACATAAGGACACACGCAGCCACGCCTGTATGCTTGCATGCCATGCATGCATGCATGCCTGCAGGTATGTATGCACATATGACCCGCCCAAAAATACTTCGTTGCATACGGCTACGGCCCATACGACACTCCCGATGGCGAGTACTAACTCACTGGCGTGCTTCGGTATGTCTTCCCATGTGTGCTTCTTTTCCATTACAAGATTGCTGCAAAAGCGCGGCACAGGCGTCAAGCCCAATTCTTGCAACAGCTGGTTGGCTGCATTTCGCGTTGGAGCTGCAGCAGCCGACTAGATCCTGGATCCAAGTCCGGAATTAAAGATTCTAGGGTGATTCAAGAACATGAAACAAGACTGCTGAGTTCTCTTAAGGCAGGTCCTTTGACCCAGAGCCCTCGATTTACACACAGGCTGCTCCGTCACAGTGCCGCTCCCTCCAAACTGCTCCTGGCTGGCATATGCTGGCATGGGGAACCTATGCCTGAAACAAGCTTGAGGCTAATAGAGATTTACTGGCTTGTGGGCCGAGTTGCTCCGCTTTTAAGGCTTCCGCTGAGATGTTGAGGACTTGAGCAAGATTTGAGATCGGTGGGAGGGCAACAGAAGTTTCAGAAGCCACGCGCCTTTGGAACACATCCCTCTGGGGCTTTCACATATGAACTACCAAACCTTCTTGAATAGTCTTGCAACTAATCCATGAGCCTCAACAGCACAGCCACCGGTGAGCCTGACGCGCATGCTCAATCTTTTCCTTTTTGCGTGCGCTCTTTGCCAATGCATGCCAATGCATTGCACCGACGGGAGCTTTTAGAAATTATAGAACTAAGAATAGCAGGGCCTGTCGCACGTTTCAAACGTGCAGTTCCCAGGAAATGCAGTCTTGGCGAGCATCCCTAGGCATCACGCCTAAACTTGCGAAGCGGCTGTCATAGAAAATGCAAGCTGCAACTCCTCTCGTGGATTCCTCCAGACTCCAAAGCATAAACCCGTCACACCTGAGTCTTTGCATATGTCCTAAACATCGATTTTGATTGCTGGTTGCATCTCACGAATCTATGATGAGTCTCGGAGGATTCTTTACAGTGATGGCTATTATTATTATTATTACAATTATTATTGCTATTTTTGCTAATATAATAATTATTGTTATTATTATTATTATTATCATTATTCGTATTCTTCTTCTTATTATTAGATTGACAAACACGTCCCAGCATTGTTCTGAATGCTCATCCCCTACACCTAGCACACACTCGAGTGACCTTCAAGTCGCTGCAAGGTAGTATAGCACCTACTTTGAAGCCTCTAGGCGCCACATGCAAAGTTGCAATGCCTCGTGGATGGCAACTGCAATGGTACCCTTCTTGTCCGAGACCACGGGCAGACGTAAATCTTAGCGCTTTTTTTGCACAGGCTTGATTGCAGCTCGCCCGGCCATCTAAGCACTGACCCCTGGACAAGAGAGGTCGACTCGACTGTGGGACGGAGCCTGTGCGTTTGCACAGCTCCTGTCGAGCAATCCGCGCCATCTGCCGACAAGCACTCGGAAAGTATCCTTCGTAGAACAGGTTTGCATGGCTCTATGCAATGCATGGTCTGAGGCTTTCCTGCTTATACCCGTGCTATCCGATTTGTCAATTTGTCAAGCCGTCGGGCCTTGTAGATTTATAGAAAAACGAGCAACGAAGCTTTGACTGAGTCATCCTCACGTGCCCACGGGGCTTGACTTATGCTTGCAGATTCTGACGCCAGAGGCTACGCGCCGTGCCTCAATCCGCGTGCATGTTGTCGCGCGGGCACCGAAAAGCCGGCTCACTCGTATAATTCACCACAAACAATCCATAAACAATGCTCTCCGAGCGTGCGGCCCTTCCTTGGAGCCGCCTCCCGTTTGTCTCATGGCTAAAGTTGCGAGATCCCCGCGTCTGACTGGGTGTGCTGCGCCTTGGCTGAAGACTCGAATGGCATTTCTGGGTATCCTACTCTATGTATACATACATACATACATACATACATACATACAGACACACATATATATACATATATTATATACACATATGAGCTTCAAGGGGTGTCCCATACTCTTTTGGTCTCTAGCAGCTCCGGCTGCGGGACCATCACGTAGTTACTGACCTTATTTGGGGTCCTTCGGTGTGCAGGTGGTGCCATTGCACAGTAAAACACCACCACCACCGCCACCACCACCACCACCACCACCACCAAAAGCAAAAGCAAAAGCAAAAGCAAAAGTAGCAGTAGCAGTAGCAGCAGCAAGAAGAACAGGGCTTCTACATCACGTGTGCATGTGAATTCCTACATACATACACAACACGCGAACACATACATTTAACACGTGTGTGCGTGTGTGTGTGTGGTGGGTGTGTGCGTGTGTGTGTGTGTGTCTGTTTTGTATGTCTGCATGCACACATGTATTTGCCTGCACATGCAGACACAAGTGCAAGACTCCAGTCATGTCAAGGAATGCCACTGGATCAAACTTGCTTGCAGCTCCCCTCACAAAGTCTTGCCTCGCTCGAATCGTTGGACCGCCCGCGCGGGTCCGGTCGCGGAGCTCCCACGCCCCGTGCCTGCGAAGTGGGATGGTTGTTGAAGGAACTGCTCCTGTACCGACAGGGCCCAAGAGGGGCCGGCTGAGGGTATCTCCCTTCACAGGCCCAGTGCTGGAGAAACCTTCTGCTCTTTGTTAGGATAGGGCAACCCTTTTCGTAGCAGCAAAAGCGTTTGAAAGGACCACCCCACCTCTCTCCCAGGAAACCCACATTCACACAGACCCTCTGGAACCCTGAACCTGGAAGGAAGCCCGTATCTGCAGAAGTCAAAGCATGAACTCTGGTGGCCTGCACGGCTTTCTTAAACCTCCAGACAGCACACAAAGCATAACTTGGAACGCCACAGCAGCAAGCACCACCCTGACTCTTCGCAGGAGAAACGGTGAGACACCTGAAAACGAAGTTTTAAGTCCTAAGACCCTGCATCCCTAAACCTTAAACCCTAAAACCCTGACCTAAACCCTACAAACCTAGCACAACGGTGTACCTGTGGGCGCAAGCACGGGCCCATGCGCGGCATCGACTTCGGAGGTGCCGGAGCTGGCAGCTCCAAAAGCCTGCAAAGGGCGCGGGGTGTGAAGGGGGGGAAAATGGGGCTTAGGCTTTATAGGGTTTATAAGCTTTATAGGGCCTGTAGGCTTTATAGGCTTTGTAGGGTTTATAGGGCTTATAGGCTTATAGGCCTTATAGGGTTTATAGGCTTTATAAGGCTTATGGGCTTTATAGGGCTTATAGGCTTTATGGGGTTTATAGGCTTTATAGGGCTTATAGGGTCGAAGTTCCAGGTCTGCGAGGCTTCAAGTGTCGTGCTCCCAGCCCAGCCCTCTAAAAAAAAAAAAAATCAATGCCGCTCATACCCAGGACAAAGGACATGTGCTAAAGCGACCAGAAGAGCTTTAAGTTATGATGTTAGGGACTTGACGGGGGTCACGCATGTACAGGTCTCTTTGAAGAAGGACTGTACGGCTAATATCCTATATGATCAGGACCAGGCCCTAGAAGCCCACCGCCCTCCCAAAATAAGCCTCCCCAAACAACAAAAACCCGCAACTCCTCTAGAGGCCCTGAATCCTCCAGGCTCTAAAACCCCCCTAAAAGCCCTAGCGACTGGGCTCTCTGTGAAGTTCAAGCGGCCTACTTCCAGCTGGCAGAAGAGGCTCCGGGGCTGGCTCCGGCCTGAAAGCTGGGATCCATGGGGTTTTTTGGAGCTTCGGGATTTCGAGTTCGGAGTCTAGGCGGCCTTTGCATGTGCTTTCGTGTCAGGCTCGGTTGGGTTTAGTGTATGGGAGATTGTCTGAGGCTTTTCTGCATCTAACAAAGGCAGAAGTTGGAAGCTCATGCCGGGGTTGGCCAGAAGCACACGGGGCTAAGTGCCAACGCAAAGCAGTGATAAGGGTCCAAGATGAAAACTGTGAGCAGGAGGGCATGTTGTTGCCCTAGGTTTTTTTCAGGACAGGAGGCAGAGCAAAGAACACACAAGACCTCAGTAAATGCAAACGAAGGCTTCGGTTCCTATTTAATTTGGCATAACACACTTCCAAGGACAGGGAAGTAGGCCGCAAGCCGCTGCAAGAAGTTGTTTCAACTGCGCGACACTGGGGTTTAAAGTTCAGGGCTTTAGGCTGGAATCCACGGCAAGCAAGTCCAAGTCCGTGAGCTTCAGTCCACAAGTCTGGTCAATACGAAACCCTGCAAACATTTGACAATCCGAGGAGGCAGGCTCTGCGAGATGCGCTTTCGGAGTTGGGTCAGGCGGCGGCATCTCCCTGTACTGGCAGCAGCAGATGCTTGCAGGTTCTAGGTTTCGCGGTTGGGAAACAGGGCGACAGGCTCTCGTCCGCACTGCATCTGCCAGCGGAATGTGCCGACCGACCAAAATAATTATAACCCCACTCCGGAGATCCCCAAAAAATTAGTCCACTTACTTCTGGTACGGAATCTGCGTACAAATCCTGTATGCGTAGATTCAGGCGTTTCGTGTTCTCTGCGACATCTGATTAGCTCCGGGCACCATATACCCTCAACCCAAGAACCGTCTTAAACAAAAATCAGGGTTCCATTTTCCGTTAAGGGTCTCCCGACAAGTGGATCCTTTCATGTGTTGCACTTGCACTCGACTAAGTCGGGCGAGGTAGCAAGATAAATCGTAATTGCCTCCTTGCTTTGAAACTTTGGCAAGCTTCATTTTCTAGCAGAAGTGCTAGTTTTCAAACTAGTACCAATCTTGGTATGCGCACCTACCGATGCTATTGCTCTATTGCGAACATTGTGACGGTTGGTCTTACTGCTGCTGCTGCTGCTGCTGCTGCTGCTGCTGCTGATATATATATATATGTAATAACTGTCTATCACTACGGCACCGACACAGAAAGCTGCATAGTCCGACGGTGCACGGAGCCTGTAAGCTAGAGTAACGCAACAACCTGGTCTTCAAAGCCCCGGGGTTCCCAACGTGGAACCGAGTAGCCTGGCCTCTTACTTCGGGTCCGTATTTTGAGGAAGGCATGTGAAGGAGGCATGCACTTGATTCAGAACCCTTGCATGGACGTTTGTGTTAGAGCCAGGTTTGCAGCGGGGCTGGGCTTAACATGATTCTGGTTTGTGTGTTGGTGGATGCCACTATAAACGGCTGGTCACGTGACAAAGCAAGAACTGAGAGTCTCTGGAAGACCACCGACTACCTCGACGTGGTTGCTGGTATCCATCAGCTAAAACCCTACTTCGTAATACCATTCCTTAGGTAGGTATCCTGTTAGTAAGGCACCACCTAACCCTATCAACCCTAAACTGGCCATAAACCTGATAATCTACCCCAGTTCAGGATTCAGGGTCACCGCACGCCTCAAGTGCAGGTTTGAAGCCTCAAACTTCCAAGGAATGACCGAGAACCACCCGACTTCAATGTTGCCGCTTCACGTCTATCAGGATGTCTTCTTATCACTCTCATCACGTCTCTTCTTCTTGCAGCTGCAAGTGCTACGTTTGTTCTCGTGATTTTGGCTATGCTCTTTTGCTGGCTCTTAATGAAAGGTATTTTCCCTTCGCTGGAGGCCTTGTCACGGTGCCCTCCTGTGGGCGTGGCGCCGCAGCAGCTGCCCGCAGTGGCACATCGTGCCTGAAAGCAACAGCTTCGGAAAGCGGTTTGAGGTCCCTAAACCCTAAACCCTGTGAGGCTTTGGAGGCTTTAAATCTTTGTGCCAAACGCCCGCGGATGTCGGCTCTGGGGTTTGGGCTTAGGGCTTGACCCCCTCTACTTGGGCGTAAGGTTTTCACTTCTGAGCCGCGACCAACTGGCACAAATACCAACAAACAGCAGGACTGTTACTCACAGCTGGAGCTGTGCTGTCCAGGCTAAGCACCAGTAAATGCAAGCATAACCGCTCGTCCTGCCAGACCTTAGTATTCTCAGTTTATTCTGGGTAGTTTATCTCACTCTCGCTGACTGATACACATGCTTCAGGTTTCAGGCATCCAGAAGTGCACGGCGGTCGGTCCGGAAGTTGGCGCTTCTGACTTTCACTAGCATTTTCGATGCTAGTTTCACCGATCTTCTGCAGTTGGGATTTTCGGGAGGAAAGCATAACTAGATACGTAGCAAGAGCAAGAGACTTGCTGTGAAAACGGGTTGGACTGAAGGAATCCCTAATGTTACGAACCACCATCTTGCGTGCATCCGTGAGTGGCTTTGAGCTCGGAATAGTAATGATGGTGACCAAGGTCGAAACAGAAGCTTGGCACGCATGCCTAAACCCCATACTACCCCATACACTACAGAAACATCGTACGTACATTACCTAGCACACATGCAGAACTGACTTTTGACACTCACACTCGGGCAAGCCTGACTGGAGCTGTTCTGCAGAACTGACTAAGGTTTGTTCCGGAACCTTCAAAATTTCCCTTGACTGCAGGTTTCGCCTGGGTTCCAGGTGGTCTGGCCTCTGATCTGCATCCGCCTCACCGCATCCATGATCAGTGTCTTTTTGTCGCTCCTTTTTCGCTAGCAGGAAGCCCTGTAGCAAACACTGCTTATCACTTAGGATTCGAGGTCCTAGGGTGTGGTGCAAGAAGCATGGTCCTAGCGGCAGTTATTCTGACTATTGATATGAATCTACGTAACAAGTGCTCGTCGAAGTGACTGGTGGATGCAGGGGATACTGCATTGGGAACACAAGCAGCACTTCAGAAATCTTCAGAATTTGCGATGCCCGTCATATGACCAGTTCGTGTCTGGCCTAGCAGCCTAGCACAGGTGCGAGCGTCCCTGGCAAAGCAAATAAGTCGGAGTCAAGAAAATTGGCAAAGCCCGGACCTTCAGCGGCTTCTCCAAGGACACAACATCAATGGTCACAACCTCGCTTTTCATGTGGCAGGGCTATAACTCAAACCCAAGTGTGTCACGCTTGCATCATCTCCCACGGCCTCCTTGCCGGTTTCAGCATCCTTGCTGGTGTGTTTGCCGTCGGTGTCTAGCTTCTCCTGTCTCAAACATCACAATACCGACTTGGGAGCCCCTTCATAGTTGCTGAATAGATGTAAACCTCAGGGAAAGAAACTGCCGTCCTCGTTGCGTGTAGAGAGCCCAACCTTAACCATAGCTTCCGCGCAGGGGGAGCTCTTGCCGGCCAAGAAGAGCGGCAAGGATCCGCTATAGCCAGTTATGACATCACCGCCCTGAACCACGGCATGGAGCGTGCGTGTAGACCTCTCCGGACTCTCCGGGGCAGATGTGCTTCGGAATCAGAAGCCCAAGCACGGATATACGGTTCTCTTTGAGTGTCTGCTTTCATGTTCAAGAGATGCTGGCATCATACGTTGCATGCTATGAAGCGAGGTGAAGGGTCTCATGTGCAAGTATGAGAATGGTCTACTTGCTGGCTCACAGGTACCATCAAGCACGATTCACTGGGAACAAGAGTCATGACATGCATAGTTCCGGTCACGGTGCCAGCCTCCTTTGAAGCTCCACGAGCACAATCGTGAAAAACAGAACCTGCAAAGCACACACTTACCACCCCCCCACTCCCCCCCCAGTCGACACTTCGGGCAGAACTGCTCGAGACCTCGAGTCTAAGAAGAGCTTCTGCTGGGGCTGTAATTTGCCAAGTAGGCTGCTCTCCGAAGTAGCCGTGCTGCAATCCACAGCACCTAACCATAGAGACTGTGTAAATCTCCTGTGCCCGACACTTGAAGTTCAGCTCCCCTACATAATAGAGCTGCAGCCCGGGGGCCCCAAGACAAACAAGACTAACGCAAAAAAAGCAAAGCTACTGGTGGCTAATTTGCCGCTGCAGACCCATCTCCAAGTCCACGAATTGTAGCAAATGCTTGCAAGCTTCTATGCTGAAGGCGCTGGTAGCTTTCCGACGCTTATGTCTTTTCGAAAAGCTTCCACGTACTGCTGCTGGCATTCTCTCTCTCTGTCTCTGTCTTCTCCCCCAGGGCATGAGGGGTCGGTTAGACCCCCCGGCCAGTTGGCCCCCCACATTTCATGGGGTTTTCAGGGGGTGTGAAAAATCTGCTATTCTCTGTCTCTCTCTCTCTCTCTCTCTCCGTTCTTGTTTTCGTAGAAAGCATAGACGCTTACACCCTTGAAGAGATGCCCATACTGTCTGCTACTTACTCCGATTCTGGTTACACGGACTACACTATGCCTTGTTGACGTGTCCACCTCAACCCTGTATCCTGCATAAACCCCAACACCCCGAATCCGTGTCCCTTGCACCCAACACTCTATAAAGTCTAAACCCTCGAGATTGACACATGCTTCTATGGTCCTAAACGTCCTGAACGTTAAACTCAGCCCGCTGTAACTGCTAGGCTCGAGCCTGGCCGGCCTAGCCAGACCTCCTATGCACCCCAAACGCGAAGCATCTGAATCCTCAAGGCGAAAGCCCAAAAAGCTTTCATGCCTAACACACACGTAACCCTAAACCCCAACCTGCCTGATTCTTCGTTACGAGGATGGCGGCTGTAGAGCCGAAGGTGTTCCCGGAGTCGGAGACCATCTTCAAGTTCACAGAACCTAAGGCCATATAATAAGAGTAGTAGTAAAAATAATAGTAGTAATAATAACAACAATAGTAATAATAGTAAAAATACTAAGAATCGTAATCATAGTAATAATACGTGGACAGTCATATTTCCCCGAGTAGTAGGACCCTGACTTAGAGACTGAAAGAAACCACGAAAAGAGGCCCTATCTTGACGACTTTACGACGCCTCCCGAGCTCACCCCCTCGGCAGAAATTCAGACTCTCCGGAAAGCCCACAGTCCCGCAAGACATGAACAGCTATGGTTTAGGGTTTTTGACACTCACACTGGTTTAGGGTTTAGAGTTTATAATGCAAGGTTTAGGGTTTTTGACACTCACACTGGTTTTTAGGGTTTAGGGTTTATAATGCAACCAAAACCAAACTCATTAAACTTTGGGGGGCCCTGAATCGAAGAAGCGCTGTCTTCAACTATAAGCCAGAAACTGACCCCTGATGCGTAACCGGGCGTAACCGTTCAAACAAAATCAGTCGAAATTACAGCATGACAAGGGCATCGTTTTATAATCCGAAGTACGTGTCTACAACAACCTTGAATGTGTAATACTTTGAAGGCACTGGAGTGATCGCCGAAGACCTCCACAACAACAGTGACAGCCAGGCGCGAGTCAAGCTTCAGGGCTGCATGCAGCTGTTCTAGTGGAATTTCGACCTGAAGTGCACAACAGCATGACCCCACCATGCAAGACGAAGTAAGAGGATGATCCAGCTTGCTGGGGTATGTGTGACTTCAAGACTTCAACCCCCACTCCACCCACCCACACTCAACCCTAAATATGCGCGTACACACAAACACTCATAAATGTAGATAGAACGATGAATAGACAGATGGTTAGACAGCTGCATAAAGAAACACATAAACAGATAGAGATGGAGAGATGGTCAGGTAGATAAGTGGATAGGAAGACAGATAGCACAATAGAAAGAAAGACAGATAGATGGGTAGGCTGATAGGTAGAAGCATGTCGGTATAGGTAGATGGGTATATATATATATAGGTAGAAGAGTGGACAGGCAGGTGACTAGATAGCGGGATAGAACCAGAGAAAGACATATGGATACGTATGGATGGTGATGTGGGTAGATGGTTAGATGGATAGAAAGACAGATGGGTGGGAAGATAGAATGATCGATAGATAGAAACGTAGGTAGCTAGATAGATAGATAAATGATAAATAGTTAGCCTGGATAAGCAAACAGCCAGAAATACAGTTATACATATATGCACGCATTCATGTATGTGCACACACATGTACACTAGGCACTAGTCTGCTGACATGAGCAACGTGAGAGAACGTGGCTCTCATTCAACAACAAACAAGTGAATTAATATACCTGCGCACCCCATGTAGCTAGCTGGAGAATACAACTGGATGGCAAGACCAGCAAATTAGTGGCGAGAAAAGCGGGGCTGTTCAAGTTTCGTTACTCCACGAGTATCTGACCACTGCGACTACAATTTACTCCTGCTATTGTTGCTGCATGCTGTCGCCAATCCTCATCCTAAGTCTATGCCTGCGCCTACTCCTCCTCCTCCTGCTGCTGCTCCTGCCCCTACTCCCACTCCTACCCTTACTCCTACCCCTATTACTTCTACTACTACTACTACTACTACTACTACTACGACGACGACGACGACGACGACGACGACGACGACCTACTACTACTACAACTACTACGACGTACTACTACTACTACTACTACTCCTCCTACTACTACTACTACTACTACTTCGACGACGACGACGACGACGACGACTACGACTACGACTACTGCGACTACGACGACGACGACGACGACTACTACTGCTGCTACTACTACTGCTACTACTACCTAGTACTACTGCTACTACTACTACTACTACTACTACTCCTGCTACTTCTACTACTACTACTACTACTACTGCTACTACTGCTACTACTGCTACTACTGCTACTACTACTACTACTACTACTACCACTCCTGCAAGCCACAGCAACAATCGAAGTCCGGTGGCACTCTCAATAGAGATTTCGAACTGGTCGTCCTGCCGCCTTGGATTTGAAAGGTTGGAGCTTTGCGGTAGCCGGTCCTCATACCCTCATCAGCCCTGAACCCAAACCCCTTCACAAACCCTAAACCCTAAACCCTGTATAAACGCTCAACCCTGAAGCCAAAGACCAGGCCCTTACTTCAGAGCCTCTCTGTGCTCCTAGCCGAGAAGCCCCGCTGTACAATCCATCAGACCTTCTAAATTCTACATTTTGTACGCCTGTCTGCCCTACTGAAACATTGCTTTCCCAGCTCAAACTCTTCGGCTGAGTGGCCATTGAAGCATCTGACCGAGATCACCAGGTCGGCTGAGCAAGCAAATCCCAAATAGCACTGTCAGAAGCAGGGGAGTAACCAGCACGGACGTGAACAGGTTGGTGAGTGAGGAGATCAAAAACCTCTCCTCATCTGCAGGGCTGACACTGGCAAGAAAAATGCTGACCACGAGGGCACAGAGCGTCGTGTGGAGCGTCATATAGCTCCAAAAGATATTTGTCCGCAGGGAGCGGGCTCTGTTTCCACCCAGGTGCACCACGGCGAGCAGCATGACAAAAGGCAGCGACCCGAATGCTGCGGAGATCCAGGCGACCACCGCGCTGCGGACGAGCTTGTCCAGCAAGGCTTCAGGAGGTGCACACTCGGGTTGACCAGGGGCTAGTGCTGTGGAGTCATAGAAAAGAGCCATGATGGCCCACCCACTATACAGCTTGGCGAGGAGCACACTGCAACGCTGGGTACAGCTGGCCTTCAGAGACGGGGTGGCAAAGCTGAACCAACGACAATTCACCTGATAAAGCATGGTTAGCTTGAATAAGAGCTTCTGCTCGGAGAAGTGTGAGAGAACGGAGCGCGCTTGCTGATGCCACCCTGTCACACCGCTCACTTGCCGCAGTCGGTTCAGCTCACCGGTACCCAGCCCGATGCTCCTTTTTAGGAGTTGGCTGGCCACCCGCCTAGTTGGATGAAGGGCTCCAAGGAAATACCTCGCTTGTCCCCAGGACAGGAACGGTGCAGAATATCAGCAAGGCGACTTTTAACGCTGCTGTTGACAGTAGGTATCAAGCTGCTACTAACTAGTCCTATTAAGAAGCAAACATGCACAGAGTCTTGGATGCCAGGGCGCTCTTTCAGGTCAGCTACGAAGTCCTTTCGGGAGGCTCCAACAGGTCGAAGAACTTTGATGTGCTGAAATCCTGAACAGGCTGCAGGTCGGACACGTGCTTACACGGGACGGGTGTAAAGGGGGAGACACCAAAGCAGATTTACTACGGATGATCAGGACTAGAATCCCTCCAGGGCATCCACCCGCTCCATGTGTCGCAGGTCCATGTGTTTCGCTGCCAGCAACAAACCAAGCCCGACCAGAAGCGTGACCCATTGAACCAGGGCCGGAGCTCGTACCGCCCAATGCCACTCGAGCAGAGACTGCAGGCCTTGCACAGAGAAGATGCCGGCTGCGTTGCTACACACCAAAGTGTTCACAACGGCCGCCACGACTGCAGCGAAAAGTGAGAGGTGAGTAGTGGAGCATTGCACAAAACCGTCAGCAACGGATAAGGTCGCTACACCCTGGCTCGACCATCGGTCCTGTTGTTCATCCCAGTACACACATGTCACGTCACCAGTGGCATTGGCTTGTGTAATCGGGATTGTGAAATTGATAGATGCATTCAATGTTCCGTTGATACTGCGCTCCCATATGCTGAGCTTGATGCTGATGGGTTGCGTGGCCAAGACATTTCCAGAAGCCCGTGTAGAAGCGCTCAAGACTTCGCTAATCTCGTCCCCTGGCTGCGCATCGCTTACGCTGATCACTGCGTATTCGGGACGAACTGCGGATGTGAAGAGAGCGGTTGGGACAACCACGAGCGAATCACCCACGGACACTTGGATTGAGCCTGCTGCTGTCTCATTCGGGCCAGCTCGCAGCAAGCTGGTGTAGAGCGGAGTCCCCACGTGATCATGAGGCACAGTGAGTACCGTGCCGTAAACTTCTGGTGCAGATTGCGATGAGTTCGCGGTGTTTGAGCTCGAGTCCATCGACTTGAATTGCTGTATCGCGCCCAACTGGCTGTCTTCCAGGTCTCCTGCCAACCGAGTCGAGAGCGCTGGCAATGAGGCAGCATCTCCAGCGGTAACGGTGACTGTAGTCACTGTAGTCTGCGTCCAAGTAGCGAATGTCCACGAGGTCGTTGATGTTTCAGCTGCTCCTTGCTGCGCGTGTGTTGATGTAGAAGATTGTGTCCAAGTTGTCGTAGACGTTGATAATGCAGTAAGGGTTGCTGTGTGTGTGAACGTTGCTGTTGATGACAGTGTTACTGTTGTCGTAGTTGGAGGCGAACTTGGCGTTGACGTTGTGGTGGATGATGAACTCGGGACTGACGAACTGGATGTCGAGGCTGCAGACACCGATGTGAGCGATGTGGTCATCGATGTGGATGACAGGGTGATTCTCGAACTCGATGTTGATGTGCTGCTTTTGAATGTCGAACTGGACGTCGAGGCTCCTGACACCGATGTGAGCGATGTGGTCATCGATGTGGATGACATGGTGATTCGCGAACTCGATGTTGATGTGCTGCTTTTGAATGTCGAACTGGACGTCGAGGCTCCTGACACCGATGTGAGCGATGTGGTCATCGATGTGGATGACATGGTGATTCTCGAACTCGATGTTGATGTACTGCTTTTGAATGTCGAGGTCTCACTGAAGCTTGAAGTTGATGTGCTGCTTGTGAATGTCGATGTGGCACTTAAGCTTGTTGTGGCTGTGCTGCTGCTAGATGTCGAGGTAACACTTGAAATGGATGTTGTTGTGGTAGTGCTGGATGTGGATGCGGTACTTGATGATGTGCCTGAGCTTGATGTTGACGAGGTTGTGGTTGTCGTGGTGCTTAGCTCGAGCATACCGGCAATGCTGAGCATCCCCACAGAAGTCTCTCGGTCCAAGGGCGCATCAAAGTCTGTGTCCTGTTGGTTGAGAAGCATCATGTTGTTGCTGCCCGTCTCCATGTACAATCCGTAAAAGTTCCATTGGAGAGGGTCCCTGGAGGTCAAACTGCTGCCAGTCACCCAGCTCCAGTTCGATACATGCACGGGGTTGGTAAGTCTAATATGTATCCCTGTGGAGGACTGGATGTTCATCTCAACCCAACTGGTAGTCACATCTCCATCTATGGCTTTGCTTGGCTCTTCCCCTGCTGGGCTCGTCCCGATATTCTGCCAGGACACGGCCTGCGCACCCAAGGCAGCCAAATCCATCTCTGCAGGCGGTGTGGCACCATCCCAGAGCTGGAACTCTGCCACTTGCACCTCCTGATTCCCGTCTCGAGCAGCTATAGGCTCGAAGAGGAAGTCTTTGAACTGCGCAGACAGAGGCAAACGCTCTATCATAATGCTCCGAAAGTCAGTTATGACGGCTGGGTCAGAATTGTAGTACACCATCACCCAGTTCACGTTGTCCTGGGACAGCAGCAGCTCGAATTTTACTGGATCTCTTTCATTATGATCGGATGCCAACTGCATTCCGCAATACTGTATCGCAGTGTAAGGAGATGGGAGGCTGATGATCAAGTCTCCTTTGTTGAAGTCTAACCATTTCGTGGTGTGGACTTTGTCGAGTGCGTCGGCGCCGGCATGGTCACCGTTACTGCCAAACGGGTTGGTAGCTGTCGCAGAGGAGAGATCCACCCAGCTCTGATCCGGGTCGTACAGATACAATTCTGCGATGGCAACTGAATCTGCATGCTAACCCGTGTCTCCACGGTGCGAAATTTAACATATTGTGCCTGCAGTGCCAACAACAGCTCTTCTACTCCACTCTACGCTTGCACGCTTCAATCTCACCTTCATTAAACTACAGTATGGAGAAGCGCATGAACCCTTAGACCCTATATAAAATCGTTGTAAGCCCTCATCTTTGCATCTGCCGGTGCGAAGTATGTAAACTCTGCAAGGCCAGTGGGCAGAGCCAGCAAAGCCGTCAATGCACGAGCCAGCCGCATGGCCACGCAGAGTGTAGGGCTAATCGGGTTTAGACTTAAAGGGATTTGGGTCTCATGGCTTTTGGTGTTCGGGTTCGGGTCTGTGCTCGCTCAGCTCCCAGAGCCTGCTAACGGTATGCAGTGCTCAGAGCTTGCAACCTCCGGCCTTCAGTTACATTAGTGCCGCGGTCTTGCTAATGCCCTGTCCGGAGCCCTCATCGGCGGACGCACAAGGAACATGCTGGATCACGTTTGCGCTTGACCAACCTCTGCTACCACTCTTGATTGTTTCGGCGCTGCAGAGTCCCAAAACCTTCGTGGCCCGAAATGCTCTTCCGTCCTGTACCAGGCTGAAGCCTGTGCTGCTAGTTGCTTGCTGACATTAACGAGAACATCTGGTGGTCCGTGCCATGTACAGATTTCACCAATCTCGTCAGCACCCTTCCAAATTCGATAAGCGCAATCAGAAGTCCAACATGCTCTTGGTTTAGCTCTCCCTAGTGCCGACCAGCTCTCTAGATGGTGCAAGCAGATCCTCTTGTAACTTACATGCTTTGAGCTCTAGAAAAGGACAACATGTTGCCCATCTGAGATCCTAACTTCAAGCGCGTTATCCTCATCGTCATCTTCATCATCACTACCCTCCTGGCTGGTCAAAGGGTGCGGCTGGTACTTCGACTTCTGATCTCGCCTGGACTTGCTCACTTTCGCACAGCACGCCGGTAAGCATGCCGGCTGCACAGGCCCATCAGCACACGGACTATGATCTCGTGTATCCAGAGACTTTGGTGCCGTCGAAGCTAAACCGTAAATCCTTGTTTTGTGCATCTATGTTTCCCCTCAGGCCCTGACATTCAGTGAGTGTTCAAGAAGCGAAACCTGCATCTGCCAGTCAATGGTCATGCACAGCTGTATATCTTTGCTCGGGCTGTGATCACTTGACCTACCGCAAGCCCCAAAACACTATCTGATGAAAAGCTTTAGATAGTAAGTCTCTTTACAACCATTTGGAATGGTTGCCATAACCCCGAACCCACTCCCTGGGCTTGAGCCAAGGGCCGCCTTCTCTGCAAGAGCCCAGTCTAGAAGGATTAGATCGAGCGCTGGGAAAGAGTGTTCATGGCCGGTTCATACTGCCTTGCAGCTGCTCCCTTTACAAAGCTCCCCTCTCCATCATGATGCGCGCAAGCATCGAACATCATCTGTGGCAATGGCGAAAGCACTTCTTCGCTGCCGCCGGAGGGATTGGTCTGATCTACCGTGACCGTTAAAGATCATGAACGCAGCCCCAAAAGTGCTATCCGTGCTATCTGTGCAAAACTCAGCCTATCGAGTGCCGTCGTGCCGGAAGTGTGTTCGAAAGGTGTGCTGCAATATTATCTTGTGCATTCATAAATAAGCATATGGTTAGTTCCCCCATCAGGGTACCTGTTGGGTCTGTTGGGTGTCCTAGACTTCTTTGCGAGTCGCTCTCTAGCAATACAAATGTGACTCTAGATTTAAAGCGAAGCCCATACCCCGATCATCCACAGAGAGGTATCGGTCAGAGTTCCATGATGACCTCAAAGACCGAGCGAGTGGACCTCAACATGCAGATCTTGAATGGATTCCAGTTCCGTCTCTCGGCGGATTCCGGACTGCTCAACATAATGATATCAACTTGAAAGGGCTCCTTCACAACATAAACAACTACATCGAAGCAGATCGACGTACTGTCAGTGAGTCTGCCGATCAACAGGTCGAACAGTCAGCGAAGTCCCCAACTCCCTCAGCCACGGAGCTCTGCAGATTTGTCTCGTGTTGGAAATGGTGCTGTTGCTGTCACATATGATCTGGCACCCTGCTGTTGGTGGATCTCCCACAATTACAGGTGCCTGCCTTCTTTTGTGAGATCAGTTGAAATTGAAGGCATCAGGCATCCTACTATCTAGGACCCGTCTGCCTCCATCTGCAACTACCGTACCAAGGTTGTGCCATCAAGTTGACGAGTCTTTGCCCACCATGCTTGTACAGGTTTGGGGCTCAAGAATCAGGGGCACGTAAAGGCTAAGACTCGGCCACCCATCTTCCGAGGGGCTTACGCGCTGGAGGATGCCATTGGCATGCCCGGCGCCTACCTCAGAGTTGAGGGTTGCGTGCTCTATAGGTTTCAGGTACAATCATTCAAGCTATGCTTCCACTCCCATTTGAGCAGAAAAGAGAAGAAACGTAAGCGGTACCGGCTGCGTATAGCCTTTACAGACGGTGATGCAGTAACGTGCTCTATATAGGCATGCATACTGTCATACTGGACAGAAGTGCATCCACGCACGAACACACCGAAGCCCAGCACGGAAAAAAACAATAAACAACAGCAAAACACACTTCAAAACACCATCATGCATCACTCCATCCTTCCATCCTTACTTCCTCCGTGCATGCTTCCGGACATGCATATCATAAAATATCTTGACATAGCACAACATAGCATAACAGACTTACCAAAACATAACACTGCATCAGATTGCAGTGCATTTCATTGCAGTGCAATCGCTACATTACACTGCAGTACAATACAGTACAAGAGGCGAGGGATTTCGAACTGCAGCGCTTCTGAAAATCCGCCAAGCCACGACTACGACTGTGCGAGCGACAGTGAATTCTTTGCCTCGGGAATGCAGGTTCCGGGGAGGAAAGGCTGAAGAAGTCCAAAAGAACAGCCGAATCAGTTCAGACCGGCTGATACACTTATGCAACACTGAGACACTGCTATTTCTCCCAACCTTCGAAAGTCTCTCCACCAGTAGCTTCGACATCATGACCTACCGTGCCGTGTCCCGTGGACCGGCAATGCCTGAAGTTAGTGCCGCTGTTTGTGCCGTGCGCAGAGGGTCCAGTGGAGGCTGCCACCAGCCACAACTTACATGAAGACGTAACTGAGCATAGCCCACTCGACCTTCTGGTATGACGTGGGAGCAACTCCTTCTTTGCTGCCAGTGCCTGCACACATGTCTGGTGAGGCCCATCTGTGGACTCGCTTCATCGGCATAGTGAGGCACCAGGCTCGGCTCTGGGCTCAAATGCACCCGTCGGACCAAAAAGAACCAGAACTCCTGTTACACCAGCGGCTGATTATCATCATCGACAGCGTACATGGTCACCAGTAGCCTCAGTAGCCTAGCAAATCTCTTGAGGACGTACCGGTTGATGGGCTGATTGCAGACGACTGGGAGCTGGAGGTGCCGAAACACTCAGCACCTTCTTCAACTAGGCTCAGGTCCATGCGCTTGCAAAGTATGAAAGTATGCATGAGGCCGGTGCACTTGCTCACCATCGAGCGATACCTCGGTCGCACTGCAGCGGCGGCTCCCCAAAGCAGACGTCAGGTACGGTCTGTCACATAGAAGATGGTGTGTTGCCTATACTATGATATTACTATAACTGTGCGGACGAGGCCGCAACCAGGACTGCCACACCCCCCAAGATCGCAGAACCGCCCACACCCAAAGCAGGTACTCATTGGCTGCCAGAAAGCTCCATAGTCTAGAGAGAGAAACGTATCAAGAAGTGGAGCGCAGGCTGGGGGCCATACATCGCCTCGTCTCTGGATGCTGCTACAGCATCATAGACTTGAGGAAGAATGTACCTCAATTTCGCACGATGACCAAGGTCTTGAGCCCGAAGCCACTTAGCTGCCCTCCCTCGGCTGCATAGTGCACATCACTGGTTTCCTAAGTTCTGAGGTCAGCATCAAAACCAACGCTAGCCTGAGTGTTGATGGCACGAAAACTATTATTAGGTGAATGAACATGCAAACTTGAATTATCGAGTGTTTCGAAGTCACAGGCAGGGTATATCACCAGTGGGGAGAGTGATCGCTTCACGACTCAAGAAGCCGCTAAAGTCAGTGTAAAACAAAGTGCGTGACCACAGCACGCAATGGCCGGCTTCACCGGGAGAGGACCGGGTGCAACTCAAAATGATCTGCAAGTTCGTCTGAAAGCGAGCGATTGAGTCGAGTATGCCATGCTCAAGCATATGGCAATGGCATGAGGAGCTTCCGCGTTGATTGCAGCCAGACAGCATCTGCAATGGATCCGAGAGGACTGCACAGCGACTGAGGCATGCGCAGTTCGATCCCTAGCATGATCCAAGCCTGCAGGTCGAGGCTCCGCGAATGGTGCTGTCAGGCTTTGCAACTGTTGTGCCATCGCAGATATCAGATATCAAGAGTGCTGCAGACCATGCAGGAGTACAGCTGGTATTTATCCAGTAAATGCAGCGCACGTCCTTCACAAAATGTTTGCATAATATGCGTGCCGCATCATGTGTATGCAAGAACTTTATTCGGTTATGGTATGACTTACTTGTACATCTGTATCTCTTTCTCTATATATATATATATAATGGTTAGATAGATGAATGTAAAGCTAGATGGCTGCACATACATACTTACATTCCCCCGTCCATCCATCTATCCATGCATGCAATCACGCATGCAACAAACAGACAAGCAGGCCGGCAGACACACACCCAGCCAGACAAACAGACAGACAGACCGACAGACAGNNGGCAGGCAGGCTGGCAGGCAGGCAGATACAACATGAACGACTATTTGCAAGTAGGAGTCATACTAGAAGAACCAAAAACATGAACATGAAAAAACTTGTAACTAATGATATCAAAATTGTCGTGCTATACACCTGCGCCTTTATCAGGCGGCTGTTGCTGGTTACTTTTTTTGCTAGACGGCAGCAAAGTGCCATTCCGCTGTTCGCACCGTGATGCAAGATCACATGCGCGCACTTCTACAGTTCTACATGTATACATGTAAACATGCAGAAACACATACACATGCGCGTACAGTGGCGTACAGATACAATAGCAGCCAATAGCAAATTGGCATAACACAATACAGGGTGTATGTCGGCGTGGGGGCCGGGCCTTTCTGATCACGCACACACACACA